CCGTACGTGTTCACAGACTGCAGACTTCCCGGTGCGTCGATCACCAGTCAACAATGTGTTCTTTAACGCGAGGTTAATGTGTAGTGTTCGCGTAAATATAAGAAATCATAAAAAAAATTAGATTGCAAAACCCAATGCAAGATCTAATTTATAAGGAGCTATCGTATTCTACACTAAAATATCATGAACAAAAAAAAAGCAAATAAAAACTAAAATACTGAGCACTGGAAATATTGCATTTTAACCAAATTTCCTGGAAAATTAATCATAGTTTTGGGGGCGTGGCTTACCCCTCTGTCGGTGAAGATCACGGACGACTGGGGGAGTGTTAAAATGAAAGTAATGACTATGACTTCAATGACTTAATGTACCTAGGCAAAATTATTACATAGCTATACTGAACAGGCGCTAGGAAATAAACTACGTAAGCGACAAACTTTTTTTAACAATAGTTCGTTATAGATTAAGACATGGTTTAAGTAAAGTTTAAATATAATTATTTACCTATTATCCTTTTAAAATTGCACTTATTTGCAAAAATGCTATTGAGAAATGTACCTAATTAGAGTGTGTGGGATTATCGTGTTTTCTTTTATGTAATCCAAGGTCATATAATCAAAAAATTGCCAAAAAAAATTTGGTTCATAATCTCTGAAACTTAAAGAAACATGTGAAATAGAAAAACCAACAAATTTTTGAGATATCATCATTACAGCCCTTCACAAGTCCACTGCCGAACATAGCCCTCCACCAAAGAACGCCACAAAGCACGGTCCAAAACCACCTGCGTCCGTCGACCTCCTGCATGTCTTACCAGGTCGTCACTCTAGTGGCGGGACGCTCTAAATTTCGCCTGCCGGTACGAGGCTGCTACTCGCGAATTTCATTTCCCCATCGAATGTCATTTTGACAGTCTTTTTTTTATAGGACTGGGTGACAAACGAGCACACATTAATTATATTATATCGACAAGTGCAAACGTTAATGTAGAAAAGCACACACATAATAGTAGTTTTTATACATGTTTTTATAGGATAAGCGTGACAAACGAGCACACAATCTACCTGATGGTAAGTGGTTGCTGTGGTCCATAGATATCTACATCTATTCTCGATTACGAATCAAAATGCAGATGCGTTGTCACCCGTGAGGACTAAGATGGAATGCCTCGTTTCCAGTAAAAAAGGCTCTCCGGTTCTCTACACTCACCATACGAAACACAGCAGCATTAAGCTACTATTTCACGCTGGTATTCTGTGAGAGCGTGGTCCTTCCCCGGTCGAGCCGATCCATTCGTGCTACAACTACTAATATACAGCATTGCTATACCACGTATAAACGAACATAAAAAACGTTGACATTATAGTTATTATTTTAGTAGATTTTAATATTGTGTAGTGCAGTTATTTTTTTTAAGTTGATTTTTCGAAGAAGTTCCTTATTATTGCCATTGCTTGTCTGCTATCTTAACTAATATAAGTTATAATATACTACTGTGTTATTGTCTCCTCCTCCTAGTTTTGGTCTTATAGGGCAGCGAAGTTTACCCTCACGTACCTTAGTACAATAGTAGTACAGTTCACCTAAAGGTAAGTGACACCTATAGTCAACTTCAATCGAAGAATAATATAGAATACGTTATCACCTCTTAGGAAAAAGATTGAATGCGTCACATTCTGTAATTACACGGCTCTCTACAGCCTTCAAGTCAGAATACAGCAGTGCACACACTGGTATTTGGTGGCAAAAGCGCTTGTCAACCAATGTTCAGCAGTGATTTGCTTACGAGGTAACGATAAGAAAAAGGAAAAAAGCTACATAAATATTACTTCTGCTTAAATACTCAAAGCTTCTGCTAGCATTCAAAGATCGTGGCTAATGGGTATTTTTGTGGGTAAATTAATTACCTACGTAATTGGTTGTCTTTTCACAAGAGGAAACACATTGTTCACACATTCAGTAATTTTTATTTAAAAAAATATTAGTAATATTAATTAATAATATTACTAATATTTTTCTAAAAAAATTCCTTTTAACCACTCCTGGTAAGCTTGAAAATGCTTGTGTTAGGAGTGGTTCACGACAGTAGTCAAATGGCGGATTCGAACCCACGACCTTTTGAGTTCGCGGTGTATTCGCTTCGAAAGTTATTGAGCAATCATTATATTTGCGTAGATTTACAGAGGCTCAAAAAATTTTAAAAGTACTGCAACGTCACCTTATACTTACGCTTTATCTAAAATAATGGTTAAAAGCACGTTAATTTTAAATACTTATAGCGGAACCCAACGAATAACGATTATGACTAAAGAGTAAAGACGCATTTAAAATATTTATGGGCTTAGCTATCGAGATAGGACATCGTATTGTTTATGTTAATTCTTTATTAAGTATGGGCGTTAAGTATAAAGGGTATGTTCTCTATTACATAATAACAGTTTGTACTGAAAAGTACTGGCTTAAAATAATCACTAAAGAAAAATATTTTTCTTAACACCGGCAAAATGAAATATAAAACCGGGCGTAGACTGACAGAGTGAAACTCGAGAAAGTTAACGGCGGTATTAGCCGCCGTGCAATAAACATACCATGATAATAAATGTGTAAATATTTACAAATTGCTTTAGGTATTCCACTTTATTATTGAATTTTAGCAGCATAGGTATTTTATTTTTTCTCTTAGAAATTACATTTTTTTTTAATTTTCCATATAGTGCCTTTTCAATTTTTCAAACAAAGGTTGCAATCGATGTTTTTATTATAATAGGATATTTTGACAAAGTCTATTTACAGACTGATAGATTGGTGATGCTGGCGACACCGGGAATGGAATTCAATTTTCATGTGCATACAGTTTACGCGATTATATATATTAGATATTTAATCTTCAAACAAATAATTAAAAATGTGATTAATATCGGGAATTAAAAATAAAAATAATTAAAATTAAAAATAAACGCGATAAAATCCGTAAAAGTAGTTTTAATCAATGTGTAGTGTTCGCGTACATATAAGAAATCATTATGTAAACCAGTACGGACTGGAAATAGCGAATCCCCCGTGACCATGGGTGCTGGAAAGCAACCGAAACGTCGGGAATTAAAAATAAAAATAATTAAAATTAAAAATAAACGCGATAAAATCCGTAAACTACTTTTACGGATTTTATCGCGTTTAGATATAATTATTTATTATCCTTTTAAAATTGCACTTATTTGCAAAAATGCTATTGAGATATGTACCTAATTAGAGTGTGTGGGATTATCGTGTTTTCTTTTATGTAATCCAAGGTCATATAGTCAAAAAATTGTCAAAAAAATTTGGTTCATAATCTCTGAAACTTAAAGAAACATGTGAAATCGAAAAACCACAAAATTTTTGAGATATCATCATTACAGCCCTTCACAAGTCTACTGCTGAACATAGCCCTCCACCAAAGAACGCCACAAAGCACGGTCCTAAACCACCTGCGTCCGTCGACTTCCTGCATGTCTTACCAGGTCGTCACTCTAGTGGCGGGACGCTCTAAATTTCGCTTGCAGGTACGAGGCTGCCACTCGCGAATCTTATTTCCCCATCGAATGTTATTTTGACAGTCTTTTTTTTATAGGACTGGGTGACAAACGAGCACACAGTACACCTGATGGTAAGTGGTTGCTGTGCCCCATAGACTACATCTATCCTCGATTACGAATCAAAATGCAGATGCGTTGTCACCCGTGAGGACTAAGATGGAATGCCTCGTTTCCAGTAAAAAGACTCTCCAGTTCTCTACACTCACCATACGAAACACAGCAGCAATAAGCTACTATTTTACGCTGGTATTCTGTGAGAGCGTGGTCCTTCCCCGGTCGTGCCGACCCATTCGTGCTACAACGCGATAAAATCCGTAAAAGTAGTTTTAATCAATGTGATTAATGTGTTTATACGAACATACAACCTAGTCTCTTTATCAAATTTGAAGACAGTATTGATTCATACCGGTAATCTCGACTTCCAACAACGAAGCCTAATAAATATCTTACCTAATCTCCTTGCCTACGATTCGAATCCAGCGCCTGCGAGCTATGACTCAAACACTATTCTACCACCGTATATGTTTAATGTTAATTATTTTTTGCTATCATTACAATAATATTAATTACAGTACAAAAATATTATGTAGAAGATACAGTCCGTGTTTGTAAAAATAAGACTTCTAGATAGGGTTGCCAGCCTTACTATAATATATAGTATCATACTATATTTCAGTCAATTGTACTATAAATAATAGAAAAATAATATAGTACGAAAAATACTATATTGTTATTCCTAATCCAACTGTCGCGCTTTTTTATATTAATGTTAAATACGGAAAGAATTTTATCGTCATGAATGTAAAATTCAAAGAAAAAGAATAGAGTATTATATTTATTAAAAGCTAATTGTAAATTTAATTTATTATGAATCTAAATTGCTCAGACCCCTATAATTATTTTGAAGGTAATAGGCAATTGATGAAAAATATTTAAAGATTAAAAATAAATTTGTATTTAAATTTCTCGAGAATATCTCAAAAGTACTATATGTTTGAATCTTTTTTGGGGAAAATATTATATTTGTTTAAAGAAAGGTGGCAACCCTACTTCTAGGTGATCTTTTTTTAACTAGTAAAATACTTCATATAAATAATATATGTAATATTATTTATATCGTACTATAATATTACTTAATATCTAATTAAAAATAGGTAATTACGAGATCAGTTAATTTGCTAATATACATTTTGCATTTTATTAATGTAATAGGAAATCTAAAATAAACGATTACTAGGAAAAGTAAAATTATTGAAAAACTGCAACTAATTCAATCACTTAAAACTTCGAGGTTATCGAAATTGCTTTGAAAGAAAAAACAACAAAAAAGTCCTTTCAATCAGCACTACCTGGGTTCGTGTATCACCATTTTGATGTCGCCAGCATAATTGAAAGAAAAAAAAGTTGATAATCGATGTCACTCACCTTTGCGTGATTTCCAATACAATTTTCTTAAATAATACGCGGCTGCGACCAGTAAAAGAGCTCCAATAAAAGCACCGATAGCTGCACCAGCGACGCTACCAGCACCAAAACACTCTGCTTGCGCTTGGCCCAAAACACAAGGCAGCAAGACGGTCACAAGAAACAACCTCGATAGAACACCCATTTTTATTCTTAAAAACCTACTCCGCACAAAATAACATCACTATTTTTATGGCACAATAGCTTATTCGGTTATTTTAATTCAGTTACATTCCAAAAATTAAATAAAAAAGTAAAAGTGGAATGTGTTGAAGAGTTTTACGATAAACTTTTTTGTTTAAAAAAGCGCACAGACAAAGACGTGCGCTGCGTCAGCCAGCGCGGTTAACTGTGGTCTGTTCTGTGGCGTACAATACAACGTATTGTATATTTGTTACGCTTACGGTTACGGAGTGGTGTTGTGAATCGACTGTGATTGTGGTACAGGGGACAGGCACGCAGAGCGTGTGTAAAGAACATGTTTTGGGCAACAACAAAATGTGCACTTCAGTAGAAACACCATATTATTTTATAAACTAGCTAGCGTGTGGGAGAGAAAGATCAATTTGTAATAATTTCAAATAAAAGTAATAAAAATAAAAGTAGAAGCCTTATTTACTCGTATTTTGAAAAATAACATGTAGGATTAAAGTATAACGTTAAACGAATTACAAATATAAGTGGATGGTAAATAGATAATTGAAATGACAAATGAGTTTACACATAGACACTTGCAGCCAACTTTTGTTGAAAAAGAGAAACAACAAAAAATCTAGAGATGCGTTCTCACCTCTTTGGATGTAAAAGGTGAAGAAGGAATGTTCCACAGCCTGTAATTACACTGGCTTCTTATGTTCTTATGATCGTAACATAGCAGTATGTGCACGGCTGTTTTGCGGGAGAATAGGTACTTACCCAGGTGGACTCTGGGGCAGAAAATTTAATTTTACTACATAATAAACTATACAATATAATCAATAAATTTCAATCAAATCGAATCGAAAAAAATCAAATTAATTAAAATTATTATAGATAATTTTTAATATTTCTATATTAGTTTTAAATTAGGTTCAAAGAAACCTTATTTCTGAAAAGAACAATGTGTCCTTTTATGGGTTACCTTAAGATTGCATTCGTGATGAAGTAAGCTAGTATTCTTATCTGATTATAAGGGTAGGTTATGTTCATATTTATATTTTAAGCAATAATAGTTGTTCGTAGGCTTAATGTTAAAATTAAGAAAAAAAAATCAAATATTGTGTCCTTTTTATATTTTTAATTCAAAATGCGCGATTTTACTGCACATGCAACACATTTGTAAGGGTCGATCGGTATGAATGAATGAATCATGAATCATATTCAATTTGGGATAATTTCAACTAAAAGTAGAAGCATTATTAAGTAGTTTTTTCAAAAATTAAAATGGCTTACAACCGGTATAAAAATTTCCTGTAGAACCAAAAGTGCACTTCGCTATAGATATTTTAAAAATAAAACTCACGAGAACAAAATAAATATACACTTTATAGAAATATCCTAAAAAAAACTATTTGAGTGGCACAAAAGCAGGTGAATCACAAATACGTACTAAACTCAAAAAATAAAACTAAAGCCACTTGGAACCTTGGAATAAAAGAAAATAGTCAGACACATCCAAATCTCATTGATAGACTCACAGTCAATAATCAAAATATACTAAAATCACATTGAACTAGCTACAACATTTAATCAGGATTTCATCTATTCCATTAAAGACAGAATATCACAAAATAGTGAGGAAAAATTAAGCGGAACTAGTGTAAGAAATCAATCAGGTATTTATTTAAGACTATGTGATATAACGGAAATTAACAACCATATTTCATCACTTAAAAACACAAAATCTACTGGCTGTGATGAAATACAAACAAAAGTTTTAAAGAGGTGTCCAGGAAAAATCATAGACGTATTATGTTTTCTTATTAATAAGTCACTTGAAGCGGGATTTTTTACTTAAGAATTGAAATTATCCGTTGTTATATCATTGCATAAAAAAGGTGACAGAAATAATATTAATAACTATAGACCAATTACATTAATATCAATATTATCAAAATTGTATGAGAAAGTTATGCAAAAAAGACGAAGTATAATGGTGAAAAAAATACTGCTACTGAATGTATCATATTTTTAGGTATTAGTTTAGACAAACATTGTAATTGTAAAAATCACATAAATAAAGTTTGTTCTAAAATATTAAAATTTAATTTTGCTCTGCGAAGGCTAACTTCAATCTCGTCAAGAAACACTTCTCTTATAGCATATCATGCATATGTCGCTGCTGTATTAAGATATGGTCTCATATTATGGGGAAACTCAACTAATGTAAACCGTGCTTTTATAGCGCAAAAATGCTGTATACGAGCAATTTGTGTTGTCGGGCCACTAGTTTCTTGCAAACCACTATTTAAAGAATTGGGTGTTCTTACGCTACCATCTATGTACATTTTTGAACTTTCAATATTCGTAAAAAAAGTATCCTCATTTTTTTACTAGATTAAAAGATACAGTAACATTTAATACCAGATACCCAGATAAAATTATTTTACCTTCATTAAAAGCTAGCCTGTACTCAAAAAATTGCTATGTGATGGCTATTCAAGTGTTTAATAAAATCCCAAATGAAATAAGGCAACTAGATTATAATCGATTTAGACGTAATTTATTACAGTGGCTTTTAGAAATACAATTTTATTCGGTAAATGAACTGTTAAAAATAGAAGAACGTTTCTATAGACTGTTAAATGCTGTTTCTTATTTGATTGTGTTCGTTTAATTTTACTTAAATTTTGTATATTCTAACCATAAGTTAATTAGTAAATAAGTTTTCATATACCAAAATTGGAGAAATATGTGATCTTTGTACCATATTTGTTGTGAATAAATTTATTTATTTATTATTATTTATTTATTTCTCCGGTTTGGTCCTGCTGTAAGTTGTATTTCATCTTCCCACCTTGCATGCTGCCTTCCTCGTCTTCTTTTGCTGTCCGTTGGATACCATTCTGTTACTCTCCTGCTCCACTTTTCCACCTTGTCACGCATCATATGTCCTGACCATCTCCATTTCTGTTGATCGATTCCTTTGAGTATGTCAGTAAGTTTTGTTACATTCCTAAGGTCAATATTTCTGATCTTATCCTGTCTTTTATAGCCGGTCATACTCCCTCCATTGCTCTTTGTGGCACTGCAAGTTTTTCTCTGAATACCTTTGTGAGGGTCCAGGTTTCGCGTGCAGTGTTATCAATTAGCATAAAGCAATTTCGTCAATGTTAGAAAATTATAGTTAATAAAAACTATTTCTATATATTATTTTGCAATATTTGTACTTCATTAATATAGTTTTGTACTAAACCCTCAAACTTGTATTAGGTAGTCAAAGTCTGGTTTAATTATTGTGTTGCAAATCACAAGTCGAACACTTTGTGGTAATTGAGAGACATAAGATCGTAGTAATATCATTAAATCTATTATAGTCGATTTTATGATTTATATGAGGTTTCAATGCTACGTTATTGTCGAGTATTATAGAAACCTATTTTTCACATGCTTCTTTCTTTCGGACAACCTTTCAATTATTTTGTTTTTAGCACATAATATAACATAGTTATGAGGTTTTTAAAATGTTGATTGTTAGCACATTAGTTATACCAAACAATTAGTTTATCTAAACTATTTTGTGGTTGTGTAGTCATTACAGATATAAATAAATTACGTATATTTAATCTAAGTATTTTACCAATTCGAGAAAGTAGAAAAAAGTCACCACGTTAATTTCTTTATTCTATTTGATAAACAATGGTCAGAGACACGATTATCTGTTTACGTAAACCATTGATTTATATTTTATATACATATAACTCAATGACGTAAGCTGTGGTAATGTTGCCACGATAACGCACACGTACACCTGTGAGAGCTCATGCGCAGGTATCTCACGCACACATTAATACACATACTTTTTGATATTCTCCACAGATGTGTATGTTGTGTACATTCAGTTTTAAGCCTTAAACTGCTTAAACGTAGATTGTTGTGATACGAACATTTTCATACGTTACGGAGTGCTACGCTATAATATATTTGATTTTTTTTAACAGTGGTAGAGCCACGCGGCAGCTTTGCTGTTGCACGTATGGGCCGGCTCAAATCGGGGTGGTACCACGACCTCACACAATACCGGCGTAAAGAGGAAGCTCTGCTTCCGCGTTTCGTCTGATGAGTGCAAGTAGCCGGAGGCCCAAATCCCCCCCCCCATCAACATGGTAGCGGAATTAAATGATGATAGACTACCCCAGGAGGGTACCAGCACCCCTGGAGAATCCCTCACTGAGTATCCACGACCATGTTTCTCCACTTCTGAGCGTGGGTGCTCAGGCTGCCCCGCGTATTCGAGGGGGGGGGGGGGCAAAATTCCACTCAAGACTACAACTGCTCGGGGCAAACGGGGCAACAAGACCAAGGCGACCCCTGCCACGCTGTCCGTGAATTTCTGTAATATCAGGGGACTTCACTCTAACCTAAACGCCGTCCACTACCATCTCGAGACGGCGAGGCCGGCTCTGCACTTTCTGACTGAGACGCAGGTGTCCTCTCCGGCTGATGTCTCGTATCTCTCCTACCCGGGGTACAAACTGGAACACTCCTTTGTGCCTCGGGCTGGAGTTTGCGTCAGACAGGACATCTGTTCTCTACGCCTCGGCAGACTTGAAGGTCGAGACCTGAAGATGGCGACGACCATCCGCGCGTCTACGGGTGCCTCTATAGGTCCCATAGCGGTAATGCCGAAACAGACCGACTCTTCGACCACGTCCAAATGGCTACAGATTCGTTGCTACAGCAGATCCCCTGCGCAGAGATCGTGATCCTCGGCGACTTTAACGCCCATCACGCGGAATGGCTTGGTTCACGTTTAACCGATCATGCGGGGAGATCTGTTCATGATTTTGCCTTGGCATATGGTCTGACACAACTGGTTACTTCGCCTACGCGGATTCCAGATGTGGAGGATCATGCATCTTCTCTGTTGGACCTTTTGCTGACCTCTCACCCGGACGGATATCAGATTTCCGTCGACGCCCCTTTAGGCTCCTCGGACCATTGTCA